GCTAAGTTCAGGCTTGAATATCCTTCTCTACAGATTCTAGAAAGAAATTCAAAATTGTATTCAAGAAAAATAGAATGTTAATAGTCAAAACAATGTTTGAAACTTTATCTGTGGGGCTTTCTTTCCTACTACCCTCCTGAAAGAATTAAAAGTCTGACTCTACACACATATACAGACTGATTATTATTCCACAATTTTCAAGAACAGAGTGGAACAATACAGATATATTTCTAGAACAGTACTTGCACTTACTGAGAGCTATTCTTTAGCAAATATATTAACAACTTACTTGTGGGATGTTCTTTTCTTCATCATGCTGGCAGACACTCCTGCATGACCTACAATATAAAAGATGTTGGAATTACTGAAAAATTATTTTAAAAGTTATAAAAAAAGCCTTCCTATTGAATGTCAAAATGTAAACCATCCAAACACTTCATGCTATGACTGATCAGTGACCCGCTAAAATGCGAAAAGGCTCTAGAGAGGTAGACATTGGCTTTGTGCACATGAAGCTGTGGTGGGCTAGGCACCCACCAAAGCTGCTCTGTCACTTCTCTCAGCTATTCAAGGGAGAGAAAATATAACCAAAGGTTCCCAGGTCAAGAGAGGGACAGAGAGGCATCTCTAACCAATTACCATCACAGGCAAATCAGGCTTGACTTAGGGAATGTTAATTTATTACCATGCAAGTCAGAGTAACATAATGAGAAATAAAGCCAAATCTTAAAAATACCTTCCTCCCAGCTCTCCCTTCTTCCTGGGCCTAACATCACTCCCAATTTTTTTCTACCTCCTCTCTCCGAGGTAGCACAAGGGGACAGGGAATGAATGTGCAGTCAGTTCATCACATATTGTCTCTGCTGCTTCTTTCTTTCTCCTCAGGGTTAGGGTTAGTTCTCCCTCCTCAGGGGAAGAACTCCTCTCACTCTCCACTGCCGTGTGGGGTCTCTCACAGGAAACAGTCTTCCAAAATTCTCCAATGTGAATCTGTCTCAGGGACTACAGTTCTTCACAAACAGCTCCAGCTTGGATTTCTTACACAGCATGCCATCCTTCTGGAACAGGATGCTCTGCAGTGGGCTCCCTCACAGGGTGACAAGTCCTGCCAGCAGACCTGCTCCAGCATGGGATCCTCTCTCATGGGGCCACAGGTCCTGCCAGGAAACCTGCTCTAGTGCAGACTTTCTGCAGGCTCACAGACTCCTTCAGTCACGTCCACCTGTCCCAGTGTAGGGTCCTGTGTGCTGCAGGGGCACAGCTGCTTCACCATCATCTTCACTGTGGGCTGCACGGGACCCTCGGCTCCAGAACCTGGAGCACCTTCTCCCTCTCCTCCTGTACTGACCTTCATGTCTGAAGGGCTGCTATGCTCAGAGTTTCACTCCTCTCCTGCAACTGCTGCAGTGCAGATCTTTCCCCCATTTTTAAATACAATAACTCAGTGTGGCACTACCACCACCACTGATGAGCTCAGCTTTGGCCAGGGGCAAGTCCATCTTGGAGCCAACTGGCATTGGCTCTCTTGGATAGAAGAAAGAGAAGCTTCTACTCACTTCTCACAAAAGTCACCCTTGCACACTCCTGGTACTTTGCCATGCAAACCCAACATAGAAGCTCAGTGATGAACATAAGGAGTGACTGACAGCAGCTATTAAAATAAAAGCTGAACTAAACACAACAGGGATAATAGTTGCAATGATCAATCAGCAACAACAGCGAATCAACAGGCTGTTTTAAGCTTTTATCCTTGAGTTACTAAAAGGAGATGGCAATACACATCAACCTGAGTTAGCACTACCTGTGCCTAATAGAGCACATAAAAAACTAAAAATAAACAAATTTTTTGCAGAGAGAAGAACACTGCACTCAACCCAGTGATAATTTGGGATGAATACGAAAAATGGAAAGCTTTTAATAAGATGAAATGAGGAAAAGGGGAAATCAGGCTTCTGATGGTTATTAGAAAGCTACTTACGAGCAGCCATGAAGAATTCAGCAGAGGGAATATGCAAGAACAAAATGACAGAAAAACACTTTGACAAGAACACAGTATATAAAAGGCGATGTTGCACAGGTAGAAAAACCAAAATTAGCTATTAAAATGAAAACTGTAGCATCAGATCACAGTCAATGGCCACCTGCATGGGGATAATTTACTAGGGTTGACTGAAATAGCCCCTGTCAAAGTGATGGCTGATGACTACATAGCCAGAAGGTATCTGGCTTGATTCTGATTCTCCCTGTCTTCCTCACTATATTGCTTTTGAATGGTATGGAGTTAAAAGTTCTTCACAGTAGCCTGTTTTGGGCTGTTTTGGACTTTTTGCTTCTTGTTTGCCTTATCTAAAACAATCTGGTCACAGTACTGGACTGAACCATGTGTAACTCTTAATGCCTCGTGTTTATGTACAAACATGCCTAGAATTTTAACTAGGAATGCTTGAATTAATACTTACAGAGAAATGCTTTAATTTCTTTATAGGCTTAAACAAACCAATGCTTTTAAATTTACACTATGTGCATGCTCCAAGCATATCTGGAATTACATACATATTGAAGAGAATCACACAGGAATGAAGCACTGACAATACCAATAACCTTCCAAATTTCATAAATATTTTACTATTTTCATTTTTGTATGAAAAAATTAAGAGGACATACAAACATACAGAAATGGCAGAATTAATAATTAATTAATAATGAAAATAATTTCATGTTTAGTATATTCAAGTTTGCATCAGATCGTCAGGAATCTGCATTTCCAAAGTAATGATATCCGAAATGTTCTTAATTTTTAAAAAATTAGGCCTTGTCTGTCAATTACTGCAGTAAAGATCCTACTTGCAATTTCTGACTGTTAAAAAACCAAATAATTAAACAGAGTATTTGTAAGAACTTAGCTGGAAAAACAAAAACAGCATCACAAAAAGTTTGATTAGAAACTCATAAGACTTTAGGACTTTATTACAACCTGTAAAATAAGCCTTCTAAGCATAAATTCAGTTACCTCTCTGTACATGAGGTGTCTGTGTTCTGCTAATATATAATAAAACACACTTTAATAAAAATATGGTGTTTTATTAAAAAAAAAGTAATTTAATAAAATCCAAGAACTGTTCTTACGAAATAGAGAAACTTCATTACCAGAAGATGAACATACATACTTTGCATTTTACATTTCTAGCTAATGAGAGAAAAATACGATTTTGGCTACAGTACCTCAACTAAAAACACAACAGAACAACAGCACAAGAATTAGCTTTCTGTCCACCTCTCAAGGACTCTGGATCCTGTGACTAAGAAGGGAGGTATGAAGTGTTTATCTTCCAAAGTCAAAAACAAAAACACTGGACTGACACAGAAGGAAGATTTACTACAGCATTTGCAATAAGTAGAGAAGTTATGCCAACCCCTGGGAATGGGATTTTGCTGTTTGCTAACTTCTCACTTTGGGATCTTCGAATTTTGGTAAGATTCAACTTGTTCACTGACCAAAGACAACACAGACAATTAAGTACTACTCATCATCTCAAGTCAGCCAGTATTTTAAGAGAGCTCCCAGATTAATACATGAAATAATGGCATTTGGATGCTTAATAAAAATATCAATAGCAAGTATTTGAGGATCCTATGTTAAACACACCCTTGTACCAACCAGATGCCGATTTGCCACAATTTGCCCTCCAATTTTGCACTACCTGAATTCAGATAGGTGTCAAGGAGATGTAAACTCCTTTTAAGGATGTATCTGGTTACACTATTGAATTGCTTGGTTGCACAACTGTAGAAAACAACAAAAGTTTCTCTTCTCTGCAGCAGCTCTGGACACAGGGACAGAACATCACAGAAGCCTTATGTTTATTTGTGATATTCTAGTAAGAAGGTCAAAATCAGAATACCTTACTCCTGAATTTTTCTTAGTCCATAAGAACTGAGCAGCCGGACATGACCCAGCCAGATGAACTCACAGCTTGGAAAGCTAAACGTGTCCTGGGCTGCATCCAAAGCCATGTGGGCAGCAGGGGGAGGGAGGGGATTCTGCCCCTCTGCTCTGCTGAGACCCCAGCTGGAACCCTGCACCCAGCTCTGGGGTCTCAGCACTGAACAGGCCTGCTGGAATGAGGTCACAGGAAGGCCACAAAGATAACTGGAGGGCTGGAGCACCTCCTGCATGAGGAAAGGCAAAGCTGGGATTGCTCGGCCTGGAGAAGAAAAGGCTCTGAGGAGACCTTATTGCAGCCTTCCAGTATGTGAATGTGAAGATGGCCTGTAAGAAAGACGGGGACAGACTTTTTAGCAGGACCTGTTGTGATAGGACACAAGGTAATGATTTTAAAATCAAGAAGATTAGATATCAGAAAGAAGTTTTTCTACATTGAGTGTGGTGAAATACTAGCACAGGCTGCTCAGAGGTGGTGGTTGCCCCATCCCTGGAAGTGTCTAAGTCCAGGCTGTATGGGGCAAAAAACAAACTGATCGAGTTGAAGACGTCCCTGCTAATTGCAGGAGTTGGACAAGACGACCTTTAAAAGGTCCCTTTCACATCAAACCATTATATTTTTTTATGACGAAGAGCACAGAAACATATTTTTGTAATGGAAAGTGACCAAAACCTCCAGCTTCTAGACAAGAGCAACAGAAGTAAGTATTCAATTGTCATATGGTATTTTGTCATACTTGTGTTTTCTGAGGCTCACTAATTCTTCTCCTTACAGTAAACCCTTAAAATTCAACAGCAAAACTAGAAATCATATTTCTGAATATTTCCACTTTACTCCAGACAAAGATGAAGGGTATGACAAGACTGCAAGACTAAAAAAAAGAATCGTTCAGGATGTTGGCTTCAAAGGCAATATACATATCATTTCAGCTGAGGCTATAGGAGAATATGAAGAAAGATGGGAGAAAGCTACTGGTAATGTTTTGCTTGTGACATGAGTTGGTTCACTCTATGCAATCCATGAAAATCAAACAGGCTTTTCAGAAAACAGGAATATACTACAGGTTGGTAGCATGTTTGACAAAGCCAGTTTTCAGCTGTCCTGTCCACTTAGGAAGGAAATGCTTTTATGTGTTGTAAAGTAGGTGTAAAGGAAGAGGTACAGGTGATTTATAATATCTAGGCTTTTGAAATCTCTCTCTCTGGGAAACATTGTACATAGTTCCTTTCTGAGAAACAAAGGGTAGGATTGAAGATAGAGAAAAGAAGGAAAGGTAGGTATTTAATTTTTACAGTAGAGTACACGGCTATGGACTCTAGGTGTTTGTCAAAGTACAGAGTTGCTTTCCATGATACAGTTTCTGTGAATCATTCAGGTGCTCTTGGCAGTGTCCTTGCCTGTCTCTCTAATTAGTGCATTGCTGTCCCAAACAACCTGTAGTGTCACTACAACAGGACAAAATCAAAGTCAGTTGAAAAATGTTTTGTTAATGCATTGAATTTTGCCCTACATTAATATATCCCTGATACTATCACTGGTTTATCTCTATCTCCAGACTGTTTTTTGCAACCTGTACATGATCCAAAAGCCTCCTACAATTCAGCAATTTTATTATTTTACATGATTAACATATCAAATATAAAATACATGGACTATTTCCACTCTTTCATTGTATCTTTTTCTTCTATTAATGTTTCCTCCTGATTAAGGCTATATTACTGCTTTATTATCTAATTCCAGATGACAGCAATTTTATAGGCAAGACTGAAAATCCTAGTTGCTACTTAAGATGTAGCTATTCTGGAATACTATGTGCTGTTCGTAAAGTTTCTTGGCAAGTGGCAACTATAAAAATGGAAGGCAGTAAATAAGATATTTGTATCCATAGTGCTGTAAAGTTCAGCAAATCTGATTTAAAAGTTATTTAAGTACTGTTTTCATCTTTTAAAGGTGTTCTAAGTAACTTCATAGACCCTCTTAAGGTTACATGGGTCAGCCCTGTGATGGGGGAAGGGACTTTTCACTAGATCAAGTTGCTTAATATTCCTTTGAACATAAACATTTCCAACGAGGAGTCACATTTGGGTAACCTGTTCCTATTTTTCACCATAATCATTGCAAAAAATTTCTTCTGTATACTCAAATCTAACTGTACTCTCTGTTTAAAACAATTACCCCAGGTACTGTCACTGAAGGCTTTGGCAAATAGCCTCTCTCTGTCCTTCTTTTAAGTCTCACTTACAAGAAAACAAAAAGGTTGCACTCCCTGGAGCATTCTCTTCTCCAGGCTGAACAGTGGCAACCCTCAGCCTTTTATCATGAGAGGAGTTCCAGCCCTTTGGTCACTCATGGCCATTCTCTGGACCTACTCTCTTAGTTTGAAGCCATTTCCCCTTGTCCTGTTATTACATGAGCTTGTAAATAGCTCTTCTTCAGCCTTCTTTTAAGTCCCCTTAAGGTACTTAAGGCAGGCCATAATTAGGTCACCCTGGCGCCTTCTCTCTCCAGGCTGAACAACCACAGCTCCTGAAGTTTGTCCTTGTGGGAGAGGTGCTCCAGGCCTCAGATTATCTTCATGGCCCTCCTCTGGACTCACTGCAACTGGTCCACATCATTCTTATGTTAGGGGCCCCAGGGCTGGATGCAGCAATCCAGGTAGTGTCTCACTGGAGTGGACTAGAGATGCAATAAGACCTCCCTCAACCTGCTGGTCATGCTGCTTTTGATGCAGCCCAAGATGCATCACTTGGGCTGTGAGTATACCCTAATGGGTCACGTTGAGCTTCTCATCTGCCAACACCCCTGAGTCCTTCTTGTTAAGGCTGCCCGCAGTCCATTCCCTGTCCAGGATGTATTTGTGCTTGGAATTGCCCCAGTGCAGATGCACTGCCTGGCACCTGGCTTTGTTGAATGTCACAAGGCATGCAGAGGTCCACCTGTCAATCCTGTCCAGGTTCTTCTGGATAGCATCCCTTCCCTCTAGCATGCTGACTGCAAGACACAGCTTGGTGTCATCAGCAAACCTGCTGAGAGTGCACCCAATCCCATCATCCCTACCATTGAGTAAAATGTTAAACATTGCTGCTCCCAATACTGACACCTGAGGAGCTCCACTCATCACTGTCTCCATTTGGTCACTGAATGAAATATTTGACTGCACTGGATCTCTCCTTTGAAACCTGTAGCTGTTACCTAAAAGGGAACTGTATTACTTTTGAAATCAGTGCATATTTCAAGTATAGTGACAGCAAATTTTGACATAGTCTCAGGCAAAATACAAGTCTGAAAGTTTCCAAAGGGGTACTGAGAAATCCTCCAGTATCAGTTTGAGTTTTCAATTAATCAAATATGTATTTGGAAGCACCCAAACCTATCACTTAGGTATTTTAAAAGTTAACTGAGCTTTCCCAATTACACTTGTTCAGTTGGTTTCTTGAGAATTTCATAGAGGTTACAATTCACAATAGTTGGTGATAAAAAGTATGTTGCTTCCCCCACACAGGTCACTGATTAATAACTTTTGACACAACACAAAATAAGAAGGTCAGATCTGTACTGCTAAATTTACGTTTCTCTTTTCAAGCTATGATCTTCTAAAATAAAAGTAAATTTTCTTTTAAAACAGGAATGATGACATCTAAAATCATTAGCATCTACTGAAAATCATTAATGTATTTTAAAAGTCAATTAAATAAGAACAGATTTTATCCATTAAAAGCAAAGAAAACCATCCAGAAAGAACACCTCACCTGCATCAGCTCTGGACCGCTGACCTGGTGATTTTCCAAATGGGGTCTTCATTCATCTGTGTTTAAGTGAGCAGCAAAGCTGCTGGACTAGGGTGAAAATCCAGTTCTTTCCAACTTCCAGGATATCTTCTTTTTAGTCTTAGGATAAGACAACCACTTATTAATCCACCATTCAACCAAGAACTTGTCCTTCCACAAACGTAGAAGATGCACTTTCAATTACTGTACTCTGAAAAACAAAACAGGTGAAGTATAAGTACCTTGATTTTGAAACCAAAGTATTCTATCTTAACCAAGTCTCATTTTAATGCTTGTTTTCATATGCAATAGGATATTCCTTCACATTGTTATTCTGAAAACATTCAGCAACACAGGACATATATGGCCAAACAAATACAAGGCTGCTACCTTATCTCCTAGTCACAGTAAAGTACCATGCCACTATGTCAATTACAAAGAGAAAGGAAGGGTTCTTAAAAACGATTGAGCTTAACACAGGAAGTATGACTACTAACTTAGTAGAAACTGTACTGCCTTTACCAGGTTAAAGCATCAACCAACTCTTTCCACTGGTTAGAAATAACGTGCTCCCCCTCACATAACAGAATAACTTTACTTCACAGAAGTTTAAAAAAAAGTCTGTTGAAAAAAACGCAACACAAAAGGTTTTAAAAACACTGATTTCACTACAATGATTGCTCATGCCAGCAATTTGTTGAGTAGGTCGAGAGTTCGTAGATCTGATGATTCATAGATCTGTTTAAGTTTCCGGCAATTCTTTCCACCTAATATCATCAAATTCCTAAAGTATTTAGTCATCGCATTCCTCTAGATAAGGAAGGTAAGCTAGGACAGCTTTTTAACACCCCTTTCAGGATTTAATTACAGAAATTTTGATCATGAGAAAAAAAACCAAAGTATACAAGTTAACTTATTTCAGAGTAACATTTTTGGGCCAGAAGCATTTATGCACAAGAATTCGCTACTTCAGTGTTGCCCACAAACAAGGCAAGTGATATCAGATCATTTCCTTAAGAAACTGTTACTGATAATCTGTGAAAAACAGGGCCTGTCTAATCTGTGAGTCAGCATTGTCTTCCCTCGTTTACTTCAGTTTTGGAAACTATTGTCAGTTTTCATACAGGGTTAAAATCAGAAGAATGCCCCTAACCAGTGATTCAGATGAGGGGAAAAAGTGTAGCTTAAGCTTGTGCCTTACTAAATCAGGGAACATAAAGGTGACCCACCTTGAGGTATGGTAAAACTGCTACACAGAAAAATGCATTTACATCTAACACTTGACAATTCTTTCATGGATTGTACCTATTAACTTCTTGGAACAATACAGCAACAAAGAGCAATACACCTAGAAAGAATCAGTAGGGAGAAATCTGCAGTTTTTAGAAAGAACTAACTTAAGATATTCAGAGTCAGGAATTCGTAAGAACTTGTAAAATTAAAAAATTATTTACAGAAGCTTACTAGTTTGTCCACATTTCATCTCATCCTGAAATCTACCAGTGTATATCGAACAATGCTAAATGATAGCATGGCAACAATATTTAACAATATTCTAATAGGAAGCAATTAGCTTGCTTAACTACTTTACTGGAAACACAGCATAAGGATTATTTTTTCTACTGAACTCAGATGTATCCTTCTATGGATTAAAACACATTAATATATAAACTTCACAGATTATAAAAACCAACTCTAAATTTGTAGCACTGCTGTGACACACTACCATACTCAGTTTCACAAGTACTGCATAAACATACAAGAGATCAACTATTTTCCAGCAGAAAAGCTATTAGTTGAGAAATAACTGTAATCTTGTATTATATCTTGTGATCTAAAAAACCCCACAAAAATAAAAAAAAATCCCTCCAAAACATAAACCAAGTCATCATCACCACCCCCACAAATTCACAAAATGCAAAAATTCTTCAGATTTAAAAAGTAATACACCCTTTCACAGTAAACTGTTGAACTGTCATTCAGGGGAGTTATTTTGTAACACCTGTACTATACACGTCCTCCTCACAGGATTTCCAATCCATAGTAAAAATATAAAGTACTAGATATTTTGATTGCACTGCTTATGCCGTTATGTGTAGAAAAATAACTAAAACACCACAAGATATGGTTTTCTACCATTTTTTGAAAACAGAATATCCCCAGTAATTACCACATCCCAAATTTGAAATTATGTTTGAGACAGAAAATTTATTCCTAATCCTTTTAAATTCACATTTCATTTGCTAGCATTTACTGAAGTGCTTCACAATGCTCTCTGAACCCATGGACAGACACATGAAGTTAAAATCAGATCCAGCTGTTTAAATTGATTTTCTAGAAATGAAGTCAGTAACTGTTACCAGTTCAAAGGCTACCGAAGATGAAACTTGTGTTTTCCTAACACTAGCATTCTGAATTCAATTTATGTTTCAGTTGCATAGTGACAGTTCTGAAGACACTAAAAAGGAATCATAAAACCTGATTTTCTGAAAATTGATACACTTTAAGAACACTTTGAAATTTTAAGAATGGGTAAGTAAGTCTTACTTATTTGATTAAAAATATACCAAACCCTGTAAAACTTAGGGTTCTTAAATGTGATAAACGACAAAATATCAGACTTAATACCAACATGGAAATATCTTGATCTTCCAATATGGAAAATCATCAAGAAAATAAAATTAACTCATATAATGAAAATACTTTTACTGCTGATTACTTTTACTACTTTTACTGAAAATACTTTATGTTTCACATAAAGATACGAAACACAAAACCAAAACACTCTTCTGATGCGCTTAGTCGCAATAAGCTGCTCTGTTAAGAAAGAGAAGATACTTCATTTTTGGCTATATGTAAGATGACCTATGAAACAATCAACTTTTTAGAGTCATTCTGTTGATAGTGGCAGTAAATCCAATATAAGTAGGGTTTTTTTGGATACGAAGTGGGAGATACAAAGTAAGGTAGACTAGACTTTACATACTCCGAAGAGAAATGCCACTGTCTACTTGTCAGACACCCATTTCCCCAATAAAGCACAGATCATGATCAGTGCTGCTGCCAGTTTCACTTAAAAGACAGACATTGTTTTAACTTGTGAGCTGCTGCTCACCAGCCCAGGCGCGTTGTTCATCTGTTTGTACAAGCCTTTCTAGACAAAAGCATACTTTAAGAAAAAATGTGGAAATTGAATTACTACTTTGATAGTAGGCTAATTACTGTGGAGTGTTTCAGAGACTATTAAGTGTTAGATTAAAACCACTAACATTACAAATTGTCATCCAAACCAGTTCTATTTGAGAATACTGGAATCATACTAACAAAATAGGCAGAAAGATGTGACATAAAGACAGAAAAAATAAAGTCATTAAAAAATAATTTTCGCAGTATAAAGGGAAATTATGGAAAAACCAACAGGCAGAGACTTCAGTTTTCACTGTGAAATATCTTAACCCCCTCTATAAACTTAGTTGTTTACAAACATTAAAATGTTTATATGAGCTTTTAACTCCATGAATATAAGTGTAACCACCTAAAATAATTCCCTAGCTTAAATTTTAGTTAACATTCACGTCTGTATTTCCATAAAATTGCATTTCACTGCAACACATGGCATAATGCTGTTTACAGCATTTTTGTAAAAGCTTCATGGCTCTACTATTCATTGAAGAGAGATGTTAGCAGCACAAAACCAGTGATAATTAATGCTGACACCAAGCCCATAATTTTAAGTGCCTCACTCCTAACAAGCATATTTAAATTTTACCATCATGAACACAGAAGGAACTATTTGCTGCGGAATTGCTTCAGGGGTAGAGAAGTTTGGAAGGAGAGGAAGGGTAATAGCATGTATTGCTTGTATTCAGACGATAAAATTTCTGACCGAAGTGCCAGGCTCGCACCTCCTCAGGTCTGTTCCAGCGGTCAGAGCCACCAGCGATGAGGCCTTCTGGCACCACCTGGTGGGCTTCAACATTTTTGCTTCACTATCTAAAGCACTACTGTATGCAGCTCGCTTAGAACTGCACTGCCAGCTGCTCAGGGGAGGATCAGCACTACACGAAAACTGCCTTCTGCGGAGGGAGTTACTGAGTTATTTTAAACTGAAATGCATCAACTAAATTCCTTGGTAAGTAATTGTGATTTCCATAAATCAGCTCAGAGCTACTGGTTCATGTTGCAGATGAAGTAGAAGAACAGTTTATTCCAGCACTAACAGACTGGATGAAGCATGTTATATTCACCATTTTAGTCTGTAATTCAGAGTCCCTAATCCTTATTATATGAGCAGAAAGGATCATTATATGCAAGTCTTCTGCACCTGCCTTCCCAAAGGCAATCTTAGTCTTAAGATATCTACTAAATAATGGGGGTAATAAAAACATGCCAGTTTTAGTTTGTTGATTTTATTTTTTGAGGTTTTTTTTGTTGTTTCCTAATAAAAAAATCCCAAACACTTCCCTGTGGTACAAGAATTCAGCAACTCAAATTCCAAATTTCTGAAATATCCTATTGGCTTAACCATCATATTAGTTATTAGGAACTTCTTTTATTCTAGGATTTTGTGTAGGTAATAAGATCGGATGTCTGAGAAGAAAGTACAGTTACAGTACATGAAGCCTGAAGATGAGTGATTTGCAGCTGACAACCACAGAAATAACATTTTTCAGAGACATGTTTATGAACTGAAAGACCCCAAATCAAGTACAACTACCTCTCTCTCCACTATGATGGCTTCTGTCTACAATTGCACAGAAATAAGCAGCACTGGTATGCAACTGTGTGTGCATATATGCAAATACACACATACTACTGCACAGGTACTGGCTGTATGGGGCTTTGACCTGGTCTAGGGAAAGAAGTCCTTCCCAATGGCACGGCAGTTAGACTAGATATTCTTTAAAGGCCCCTTCCAATACTATCATGAGAGATATAAACTCACAAAATGCAAAGTTAACTCCACATTGCAATGCCATAGTGATGAAACTGCAGATTATTCAGCACAAGATTAGAAGAATCTGAAATTTGTGCACACTGTCTTTTGTTGACAAGGTGTCTTTAAAATTCAAGACACAGCAATTTCTAATTATTTACTAAAATATTTTAGCATAAACACACAGGCAAGTTATTTACCATAATGAAAAACAGTATGAAAATGTTTGCTAGTTAAGTTCTTGCTGTTGTAGGGAGGTGCTGGAGCTCAGAACTGCAAGGGCACAGCTTATATTGCTATTCTATAGCATCTACATCAGCACTGCAGGGCACAGCCTTTGGGGAAAATAAAGGTGAGTATCCCGCAAAAATTAGACCACTTTGTTTACCTCTTCCTCAGAGAGGTTGCTGGAATCAACTGAGTAGACCCTACCCTCTCCTGCTGCTCCTCATCCATTCCTGTACCTCAGGAGAGTGCAGCTCTGGGTGGCAAACACAGCTGAGCCCGGTGGAGAGGTTAAAAGCCATGGTGCTGCTGGGAACCAAGCCCTAGCAGAGTGAAAAGGGCAAAAGCAGTGGTGCTGGGGTGGGAAACAGCCATGGGGAACGAAGCAGTGGCATGGCACGATGTGAACGATCTTGTTTACAGGGGTCTGTCATTGTTTTCCATTGTCTCAGGCCTGCAGGA